TAAGTTTTGATTCTGTTTTGTTTCTCATAATTGCTCATCTGATCTTTTAGCACATCTCTTCTACTTGATATGTATTGTCACTAATGATTAAGTCAGGACTGAATGATTTTTTGTATGCTTGAATTCTAATACTCATTTTGAGAGTTTTTTATATACTGATGTTCAACCAAATACAAGCCTCAAGATCCAGTCAAGGTAGAATGTTTCAGTATGATGTTTTATGGACGTAAGAAAAAGGCAAGACCTGAAATTCATAAAATTATTCAGAAAAAAGTCATGATCTTAGTGATTGGGAAAAAAACCCTCTGTCTGGAATCTGTTCCACAAAGCAGCAGTTCTTGGGGAGAATCTGTCCGAGTGGAGATTAATTACTAATGAAATAAGAAAGGAATGGAAATGATTAAGTGGAGTGGCGGGTCCTTGCTACAAAGGTCAGGACTGGTTGTTCTAACGAATGCCGCTCGCAAGAACACTTGCCATGGAAATAGCAATGGAATAGCGAGAGACTCGTGACGTTTCGTCTGTGGGTATAGGACTCTAGAGTGAAATTAATTCATCACCAAAAGGCCACGTAGGCGCCTTTGAACTCTATCAAGTTATACAAATGAAGTCCTCATTTGAATTAAAAAAGAGTCTACGCATGCTTGCTTATGAATGATGAATTGTGTATGTGTATATATATATATATATATATATATATATATATATATATATATATATATCTTCTTAATGATTTGACGTCCTAAGCAAAGCGATAATGGCACTAAGATGCAAAGAGTTACTTGAAGTGAAATACTTTAGTGAGGAGAAAGGACAATAAAAAGATAGGATTCAGAAAAGCAGAAGATGGCGATTGATGTTGCATTTAAATTTTTAAAGATCGTAAGTGGCAGGAAAACAAGAGAGTTCCACAGACGAGAAGTGCGAGAAAAGAAACTATTAGAATAGAACTTACGGTCGTATCTAACTAGTTCAACAGTAAAACGATGAGCAGCAATATTCCAATTTTCGCCTGATCTGGCTCTTTGAAAGATAGAGTATAGCAGTGGAAGTCAGACTTCTTACTAGTTTGATGCAATGAATGGACCATTTTTCCAGCATCTTTAGCAATAAATCGAATATATGAGTTCCATTTGAAACATTTCATTATTTATTCATTTTTTGTATCCTTCTCTTGTATATTTCAGACGATATTAAATTCTATGCATAAGTACCAGCCTCGTTTCCATTTGGTTCAGGCATATGATATTATGAAACTTCCCTACAGTGCTTTCCGCACGTATGTTTTCAAAGAGACCGAATTCATTGCCGTCACTGCTTACCAAAACGAAAAAGTAAGTAAATACGTTTTACAATAGACTTAAAATATATTTATTTATTTATTTTTTTATAACTAAACGTTTTAATAAAAATCTGTCGGATTAATAAAATTTAATTCTAAAAATTCTCTTTGTTTACGTTTCGATACGAAACTATGTACAGATATGAAAAATTTCGAGATATCTGACAGGAGAAATTTCGCTTGAAAGCATCCAATTGGCTTCGCGTAACCGCCTGTTCTTCGTGGTCAAGCGGTAAGGCGTACCGCGCTAAACTGCAGTTTCCTTTACGCAGGTTCAGTTCATGCCAAAGAGCTCAAATTTTTCTTTAAGATTTCTCGAACATTCAAATATACTGCTTAATAAATAAACGGAGCACCTTCTTAAATGATAGTATCCACTAAAAATAACATTTAAAGTTATAAAAATCTTTTGGATTAATAAAAAAAAAAAAAAAACAAATTCTAAAAATAAATATATGTATAAAAATTCAGGTAAGACAATATAAATAAAGTCAAAAGGTGAAATTTTCTTTACCAACGCGTTTCGTCATCTGATGGACTTTATCAAGGTAAGCGTAAAGATTTTATTTTGTAGCATGTATTTATAAACAGACACTAAAATATCTAAAATTTAAGAAAATAAAAAAATGAAACAGCAACAATACCAACATTTACGCACTTTAACTTATCAGGCATTGAATTACATCACTTAGCATCTTCCATACTTTACCATTACTTTCACAGTTCGTCTTAAGAATATTTATGGGTGTCCTTTAATTTTTAAAATTTTGAAAACCTAACGAAATTTTACTTCTGTTTTACATGTAGCAAAAAACTTCCCCCCGAAAAAACTCCCAAAAACCTCCCCAAAAAACCTCCACCCTAAAACTTACGCTTACCTTGATAACTTGATAAACTCCATCATAGGCTCAAAGGCGTTGGTAAAGAAAGGTTTTCCTTTAATTATTTGTCTTTATTCATAGAATATATGTATTCGCTTGCACACACACACACACACACACACACACACACACACACACACACACACACACACACACACACACGCATATATACATATATATATGTGTGTGTGTGTGTGTGTGTGTTGTGCACAAACGTTTGTTTTCAAGCTTATTGTTTTATTAGACGTTCTAGTTTTTGAAACTATTTTCAGTCCTTTCAATCTCTTTTCTCTGGTTTCACCCTTTTTATACTTTTTGAATGACTGACTCTCTCTCTCTCTCTCTCTCTCGCTGTGTCTTACACACACAAACACAAATATATATATATATATATATATATATATATATATATTGGCTTATACTAATGTACGTAATGTAATTTTTGTATATAAAAATATGTATTAATAAACATATGTAAAGGTCTATGGTTGTGTATTTAAACCGTTGTCTTGTTTCCATCTGTAATGCATTTCTAATAGATATCATTTGTTATTAATTTGCCTAGAGATATTTACAAATGTTAATGCTTTTACCCTGTAAATGTTCATATCAAAAAGACGCAGAAATCTCTAATAGTGTTCTATTGAAAATTAGAAGTTCCAAGGCATTTCTCTTAAAAAACAAAACAAAAAAATAAACAACAACACAACAACGAAGACAACCAAATTGCGAATGTATAGATTTACTCACCCTTTTATCTTGCGTGTGTGGATACGAGTCTGTGCTTCTAGCTACCTCGATATACTCTGCAATGCATTTCTCCTGTAAAACTATTTCAGTTCCTTGCAAGAGTAAAAGTCTTTTCACTGATTTCATTGCTTTTATAAAAACAATTTGCGACGCATTTCTCAATTAAAACCGGCATCTGCATTTCCATTGTGTACTGGCATGAAAACATCAATATTCAATAACAATGTTTTCCTATAATAAACATTATTTATATCTTTTCATTAAATTTAACTTTATATTTAATATTTATTTCCCAAGTAAAATATATATAATTTCTAATTCATTTTTATTAGCAAGCATAATTTTCAAATATTTTTCTAAATTATATTCTAATTCTGTTTTATGATAAAAATTTATTTCTCTACTAAGCACACGTCAACGATTATTAAGTTATTGTCCAATTGATTTTTAAGATACGTTTTAATATCAATATTTATTGTATTCTCTGTAGATTACACAACTGAAAATCGATAATAATCCCTTTGCTAAAGGCTTTAGGGACAACGGCAGCGGTAAACGTGAGAAAAAGTAAGTACAATTCTGTGTTTTCTTTTTTGTCTTTTTTTTTTTTGAGTGCGTCTATGAATAAAAAATGTTTGGAGCACTTGGATTGGTTGAAATTATTATGAATGAGACTGAATGCGTGAGGTGGTATAAGTTTGAATATTCATTCAGAGATATCCTGAGTTATATATTAAAAAAAAACATGAAATATAAAATTTTCTCATTAGAGTGTAACACTCAGGCTTCAGGTTCTCTAGATAATCAATGTAGCGCTCCTAAATAAACTGCAATTAAAAGTCAAATTGAATTCATTTTAATTTAAACAACAAATACTTTATTAAAAATTATTTAAATGCGAAGAATCAGTAACATATATTTTCAAGAATGAAAATACTACTAAGATATTATTTGGGAATCAATATTAAAATTAATATATACCATATATATATATATATATATATATATATATATATATATATATATATATATATTTATGTAGCAGTCCTTCTTTATACAAGTTTCATTGCATTAGACATTATTATACTTGATACATAGTATTTAAAATAGACGCACCTTTTTTCTTTATTAAATAGTATATATTACGTTTATCGGTCTACATATTAGAGAAATAAAACTAAAGAAAACGCGTTCCTCTGCAAGGAGCGAACCTGTGTCTACATTTGTAGGGGAAACAAATATTATTTAACGCCCGGCAACGAAGAACGTTACTGCAAACAAAAAAAAAAAATGGAAGAAATGGCTGTTTAAAATAAGAAGTATCCACTCTAATAGTATTTGAAGTAATTTTTATTGCGAGAGGATGAATTCTTGCGCGCTCTCTTGAGGAAATTTTTAATAACACCTATTTTATATCTAAGACGGCATTCATTAGAGAAATTAAGATGGCAAGACTCTTTAAAGATCATTGCCATCTTTCATCTTCTCACACGCTTTTCTTTAAAGATTTTAAATAACGTTAAACAAACGCTTATTAATAACGGACTTCCAAATCAATTGTTGTATTTTCATATTAGGCTTTTTCTATCGAAGGTAGCTGATAGCAACGATGAGAATACAAACATAAACAATAGCATTAATATTTTTTTAATAAAAATCAGATGAATAATAATTACAAACAAGATGAAACTATACTTACGAACATTATAAAAAAATGCACATCAGTAGATATACGAACAATAAAATTAGACTAATTATTTATTACAAAAATTTAAAACTGCCAATCTTATAGTTCAAAATAATAATTCACCTCTTAGACCAAAATTAAATAGAACAAATATTATTTACGAATTTGAATGTCTATTAAAGAATTGTATTCCTAATCATTCAAAATTTGTAAACGATTATATTCATATTTTACAAGAAGACTCACAATACATCTTTCTGACCACAGCTCAATTAGATCTCATTTAAATACTCATGGGGACCCTATTGTTGACAATACAAAAGAATCGTTTACATGTAAGAAAAAGCTAAAAATAACGAAAGCCTTATTAATAAAAATAAATAAAAAAAACACTCAATAATATCAACAATGTACATGGACAAAATATGTTAACTGTGTTTTGAAAATAAAACATTCTATAATATTAAATACATACACAGATACAACAAGCCGTTTCCAGTTAACAGTAAATATATTCCATCCCTGAAAATGACTATAGCCAAAAACGATCGTAAAAAATATAACATTTGGACAGTTTTGTATGATTTTTCTATTGAAAAGGAAAAAAAAATATAAGATCATATGAGAAATTATGTATATATATATACTATATAATGTAGCGCACACTGAGTACTGGTGGTAATAAAACAGTATTTGATGTACAATAATATAATAACAGAGCTATGACTACTACTAATAAATATAGATTTTGTTCCTCACTGGTAGCACAAAAAATGTATATTTATTAGTAATATAAAACTTTATATATATATATATATATATATATATATATATATATATATATATATATATATATATATGTATGTATGTATGTATGTATATGTATATAAAGAGGAGGACAACAGTCCGAATAATGTAAATAACGTAAACAGATCTTATCAGGCACGTATTTTAAGAAATGAAATATAAGTGTCGTCTCCATAAATCCGATACCTTGCACATCTAATATTTAGCTTTTCTAATAAATAGAATTTAAATATAATATAATTATGAAGGAATATAACAATACTTTCATTTCAAGTTATGCCAACGATAAAACTTACCTTATACAGGAGATGGTAAGAGGAAAGATCATTAGCTGTTCGAGATGGTGACTTTACCATAAAAACCGATCTCTCTGTATTTTATTGCCATATTCAAGACGCTTTGGTTGTTGTACACTACAGCCTTCTTCAGGATCTATCTATATTTCTGAGGAGGTATTGTAATTATTTACATTATTTAAATGTTATTTAATACTGTTTATTATAAATAGAGCATTTACTTAAATACTTGTATCTATAAAAAAGAACGTTAAACATAAAAATGTCTTTAATAAATAAATTGTCGGACTTTGTCCATTTCTTAATATATGACGTCATTTGTTTACATTTGATACGCCATGAGCAGTTATGAATGTACGAGATTCATGGAAGATTGAAGTTTATAAAGTAAATTATAAAGTAAATTCGACCTTGCCAACCGAACCATCCTTTGTGGCCGAGAGGTTAGGCACGTCAAGCTAAATGACGGTTTCGTATAGGATGCAGGTTCGAATCCTGTCAAAGGACGAATAGTTTCTATGAAAATTTCTCGGACATTCAGGCCGGTAAATGTTATTTAATACTGTTTATTATAAACAGAGCATTTACTAAAATACTTGTATCTATAAAAAAGAACGTTAAACATAAAAATGTCTTTAATAAATTATTTACATTGTTCGGACTGTTTATTAAGTTGACCATTAGCTGTTCGAGATGGTGACTTTACCATAAAAACCGATCGCACAATCATGACTCTCCACAATTTCCATTAGTTTTTAGCTCTTAATAATGTTTGTCATTTTCTATCTCTCCTGAACCCTGTTCTGCCAACCATTTACACAAACTTGTTAGGTAGTCTGTGTGTTGTTTTCTTCTATCCCTTTTACCTTTAATATGTTCTATGAGTGTCAAATTTTCCAGGCCCTCTTTCCTCATTATGTGCCCTAGAAATTTTAACTGTCTCTGATGCTAAGTATAAGTGTCTTTTTTATTTTCTTGTCGTTGCTCACATTTTCAGTTCATGGTAATCTCAGCATACTTCTGTAGAACCTTCTGTTGCTTGAAGAGTTTTTTTCAACTATGAAGAGACTGTCCAGCATTCACTGTCATATAGGAGGACTGATAATTCATACACGCTAAAAAAAACAAAAACAAAAAATAAATATCAAGCAAACAAATATAGTCATAAAAGACTTTAAAATGTATGATGCTATCTTACAGAAATGGCCATATATGTGCAGGGTGTTCCCAAAAATTCAACATAATTTAAAATGTGAATATCTGAGTAACTACATGTCTCAGGCAGTCGAAAATAAATAGGCTTTATGTTGAACAATAAAAAATTTATTTAGCAAAAATAGAACAAGATATTCAAAACTTTATAACCGATTTCATAAAGCTTCAGAAATGCTCAATATGCTCACCACCTTTGACACGACACACGTCAAGTCGGTAGTCCAGCTCTTGTCAAACACGCTGTAGCATGTCTTGCGTAACATTCACCAGCGTCTCGGTGATTCTCTGCTTAAGTTCCTCTAGGTTTGTAGAAAGAGTAGGAATATAGACCTGTACTTTTACATAGCCCCATAGAAAAAATCACAAGGTGTCAAGTCAGGTGAACATGATAGCTATTTCAACAGTACATTGACATTATCACTGGCACACCTGATCCATCTTCCTGGTAGATTCTCATTGAGATAAGTCCGCGCAGTTAACTTAGTTTTTACACATTTTGTTAAAACTTGAGATTATTTGAGCGAGAATTGGCTACGTTATTAGACTACAGAATGATATCAGTTTTGGGGGAACACCAAATGACAAATAACTTCTTTAATTGTCAAAATTGAATCAGAGAGCTTACCAACTAATACTGGTAGGTGTTTTCATTCAATCATGAAAACCTCTAAGAGCAGAGATAAGTTTATCAGCACACTCTTCTTTAGAATCTTCATTAAGGTATCGCTATTCCTTGTATCAAAAGCCTTTGTTATATCAACAAAAAACTTGATACAGGTCCACCAATGCATTTTTCCTAGCACTGCCTTTCAGAAAAGATAATTTTTGATGTCTCCCCTGTCGTGATTTAAGAAGAACTTCATCGGCGATATTTTTGAGAAATCTATACAACAAGATCCTAGACAACACCTTATCTACAATAGAAAAAAGTAACATCCATCGCGGTCATCCTGGTGCATTATCTGGAACACGTTCTTCTGCTCAAACCTTTTCATAGATAGATAGATAGATAGATAGATAGATAGATAGATAGATAGATAGATAGATCCCAAACGAGTGAAACAGTAAGTTAAATAAATATAAGCGGAAGTAAAGTGTAGGTTCATATATACATATATACATATTCGGATAGATAGATAGATAGATAGATAGATAGATAGATGCGAACAATACATTGACATTATCACTGGCACACCTGATCCATCTTCCTGGTAGATTCTCATTGAGATAAGACCGCGCAGTTAACTTAGTTTTTAAACATTTTGTTAAAATTTTGAGCGAGAATTGGCTATGTTATTAGACTACAAAAGGATGTCAATTTCTGGGGATCACATTATAACATTACATTAAAGAAATTTTAAAATTTCTCCAAATATGTGGATATCGAAATATAAATTACAAAAATCTGGTATTTAAATGCAACTGTTATTCCAGTAGTTGTCGGAGTACTAAGATTGATTAAAAAGTATATTGAAGAATACATTAAGAAAATCCTCCGAAATTCCAGTTTATTTCAATAAGTACTGCTCACATATTTAGAAAAAAAATACTCTTTCAATGCCTTCTTAAGATAAATCTTCTTTTACTTTTATCTGAGATAAAAGATTTAATAATAATTGTATCAAACTGTGAATCCAAATAAACTACAGTAACGAAGGCGATAATAATAATAATAATTATTATTATATCCTTGGATTTCTGTTGTATACACATTGCCTTCCGGGTCCCAACCAGAGACCTAAGGTCTAAAATAGCTTCATGACATCTTCCACTGATCATCTTTGTAAAACCTCCCCTCCAAAAAGATCAAACACATTTTACAAAGCTAAAGCTCTTTTTGAAAAATTCACATAATTAATCTTAGCTTCAATTTTTTTTTACATCAATGTGTTCGTATTGAATTAGCATTTGACAAACTCAAGTGTGGAAAACAACAAATCTCGTGTAGTGTCCGTTTTCACTGATGCCTTTATGAAGGCATTTTTGGAAGTTGGCCTTCACTTTTTCCAGCATTGATCTGTCGATTTGGGTGACTTCTACGCGAATAGTTTCCTTCAAATCGTCCAATGTACGGGGCCTTATGTTCATACACATGTGCCTTGAGGTTTCCCCACAAGAAAATAATCATGGACAAATCAAGGGACCGTGGAGGCCAAGGAGTGTCAGCAAATCCGGAACTGATGCGGTCACCGAATAGAGAGGGCAAAGAACGTCCATTGATGGCCTGGCTGTGAGCCGTCGTCCCACCCTGCTGAAACTATACGGAAAAAAAAATGAGTTTTCGTCGTAATCCAGAATGAAATTGTTTATCATTTTGGTGTAAAGTTCAGAGTTCACAATAATAGAGTTTCTATCATAGTCTTTATAAAGTAAGGATCAATGACGTCAGCTTTTCCAATAATACACCAAACCGCCACTTTTGGGCTGTGCGGTGACCTTTCGCTCAGTTCCCCAGATTTTCAAGAGACCAATAACAACAATTCCGTTGATTCGCCATGCAATTGAAATGAAAATGATCTTCATCACTCATCAACAAAATGAGGTTGTCATTTACCTCAGAAATTGCTTCCATCTGATGTGCGAAGTTAAGTCCCCTGGTCTCAACAGTTGCTCAATGACCAATTTGTAGTTCTTCATGTAAAATGCAAACGATTATCGAACGATTATCGATGTCAAGTTCAGTAGCATGCCTTCGAGCAGAGCGATTCTGACTGTGACGCATTCCACATATTCTGGGACCTCCACTGGTCTTCTGCTCATTAGTGTGCCTCTTGTACGAAGTGCATGAACCCAACGTAAGATTGTGTTACGTGTGGGAACAGCCTGATTTTGGTGAATCTTGAATCAGCAACGAAACTCACACACAACTGCTGTGACAAACTCGTTATTTATTGTCGTAGGCGAACACGCGGTGCTCTATCGTCCACAGGCATCATGGCTTCAACTGAAAAGAAAAAAATATGCTAAGACACTACGGACCGAATGGTACCTGTTGGATATATGTCCCATCGCCTTGGGGTTGAGTAATAGCCATTTCAAAATTGTCCATCCTCTTTACCTCACCCTGTATTTCTTTAAGGCATGGACTACCAGGAATCCCTTTCAATAAGTATATCGTAACCTTTTCCAATCAATACGAGGACTCCAACTACACCTAAAATTATTGATGTCCCCATGTGCCATATTTTTTTGGATTTCCATTTTAAGATCCTTGTATTTTGATAGGTTTTTTGAAGATCTTCAAAGATACATTATAATCTACAGGTCGTGCCATGTCAATAAGAAAGCATATTGTTCTAGTGTTCTTTGATCGCGATGTCTAAGTGATTAGTTTGGATTATGCTGTCTGTGTGTATTGTAAAGTCCCATAAAATTATTACGTGTCCTATCTCTGCAACTGGGTCTGTGTGGTGTTCATGTCAGTTTCTTGCAATTTCCTTTTCGTAAAAGTTGCATATTTTCCAGTGCAGATATTGGTTCACTCTATCATAATGAGTTTTATATTAAGTCGGTGCTAACACTGTACAATCTGATAAAATTCTTTTTGGGTTAACACAATGTTTCAGTGTGTGTGTTTGGTAATTTCTAGTTAGCAAGCATTGGTCCCGTGCAGCCAGAATATAACCATCGGTTTCAGCTTTTAACCCTGTACTACGTAACTACTGGTGGGTACAGGGTTTGTCTATTATTTTATTATTATGACTATTATTATAGTCATTGAATGTATCATAGTATTATTGTTGTATATATGCCTATCAACTCACAGCAAGAACATCAGACACAATATTTTGCGAAGTGCTATTCCCAATATGGGAGATGTTTGTAGTGTTCGCAAAGTATATTTTACACCAAGTTGGCTGAGATATATTTTAAATTTCAATGGGATAGAGCCGCGTGCTCTAATCACTATAGGGATAACTTATCATTTTTAATTAATAATAATAATTATTATTATTGATTTGCTGACATTAACCAGTTAGGCATGTCGCCTTTGTTTAAGAGTGAGAGTAGCGTGGTGGACATCATGGCCGTATGTCAAGAAGGTTTAAGGATGAGGCTGGCAAAGTGATTTTGGTGTCATATCTAGATACTTCGGAACACCCATAGTAAGAGATACAGTCTAAGCTAGGCCTCACCTACAAAGTAATATGCTACTTTTATCAAAATTTGTCGCTATATTGCACATATTTGGCTGTGATGCATGTAGATGGTATACCCTTATCAGACTGGGTATATTGGGCTTTGAATATTTGCACCCCAGCACCACTTTGTTGACATGAGGCTCTCTCACTCATAATAATAATAATAATAATAATAATAATAATAATAATAATAATTCTATGATGAATGTAGATGGTATACTCTTATCAGACTGGGTATCATGATGGGTATATTAGGCTTTGAATATTTGCACCCCAGCATCATTTTGTTGGCATAAGGCTCTCTCACTTAATAATAATAATAATAATAATAATAATAATAATAATAATAATAATAATTCTATGATGCAAGTAGCTGCTATACTCTGATCAGACTGGGTATCATGATGGGTATATTGGGCTTTGTATATTTGCACCCCAGCATCACTTTGTTGACATGAGGCTCTTACTCAATAATAATAATAATGAACGTACGAATTAATAAATTTTTTATTTTGCTCACTGAAGTCCTCAATACCAAACCACTCCATTTTATTTGTCCACTTGACTTGATATTGTCATTAATCTAACCTGTCTGAAGGATTTTATAAGTACATAATTGAGAATATCAACTGGGAAGTAAGAGTTTTGACCGACTTAACTTAAAAGCTTCATTTACTTTATTAAAAAAGAGACTATTTCGATATTTTATGGCAGTTTTAAGCTCTGGTTGCCTTGTTTATAAATTAATGGGTATAGTTAAAAATATGTTTGCTCTTCTACTTCTAATATAAGGCTGTGTCTAGCATCATGCTTTACAAAAAAAAAAGTTTTGAAAATCTAGTCTTTAACCAATATCTTGAAAGTCTAGTCTTTAACCAATATCTAGCTGTAGAATAAATAAATAAAAGTTACAACCGATGTTTCCACTGCTTCAAATAATTTTTATAATGAGTTATTTTGCTGTTTATCTTGAAAATATATTTTCAATTAGAATCAAGAATAAATTTTTGACTTACTTTATTTCTTATTGCGTTACAGAAGAAAGGTTTTGGTATTGATTGCTTTTTCTGTGCATGGTCGATTTGAGATTGAGTGAGAATTTAGCTGGAAAGAATAAAAGTGGTTGTAGTGAAAGCAATATCTAACAATTTTATTTGAGAATTTTCTTGATTCCTTCCATTCACTTTTCTATAAAAATCGTATTATTTTGAAGAGAGATATATAAGGGAGGTTGTAATTTATCATTTGAAATAAAATAACAGTTAACAATAACGGTATTAATAGTTTTATCATTATAGTTGAGTTTGAAATATTTTTTTTATAAATGTTCATTTAATCATCATCATCATCATCATCATCATCATCATCATCATCATCATCATCATCATCAGTCCGATGAAAGTGTGTGGCTGTACAGTCTCTGTGCAGTTGAGCACCTAAGCGTTTTCCTCCACATATTTGGGTTGAAAGCCGGAGAGACATTCATTCATGCGTAGCGTGTCTAGGGCAAGTTGAGCTGGCGCATCTCATCCCTCTCGAGATCAGACCAGAATCTATGGCCTTCAACTTTTTTTAAATCAATTCGCCCAAAGCAAGGCCATAACATCACCAAGTTGCAAGGGGCTACTGGGAGTGAAAGAGAATGAAAAAAACTTTAGAATGAACCGGAAACTCAATCCTAAACAGGGATCAAAGGATAAACCTCTACTCCTGTTCAAAAGTATGCTCGCCTTGGTCACGCAAACGTGAACGTTGATTCCATGAGAGCCCTCTGCTCTGGCCGTTGACTGTAGTCTAGAAAACCTTCCATATAGCGATGCCATATCACCACTGCACTGGCTGTATGCAAAGCTCTGGAACGCAGTCTATTCTATTATGCTAGACGATTGTTAACTGTACAGGAAGCTTCGGCCGTCTTTTGACAGGTCTTGATTTCAATCTTGCTAGCCGTTCACTTCATCAGAAAACGCTCGTAAGTGGCGATTAACGCCGATGACCAACAATGTGGCAAGTAATAATAGGTTGTTTGGTACTAGTAGCCCTCTTAGAGTGACTACATAAATTTAATGAAATAACATAAATAAATCTGAATTTTGATGATAAAAACGTAACTGTGAGAACCGGTTTGTGTTAGTGAATATAATATTTTCGTTTTTTTTTTCTATTTCTTCTTTCTTATCTACACAGGCGAATGATGATGCAATCCCAACAAAAGGCGGCTATTACGCCTGTACAGCCGGCACATCCGACTGACGAGTTGCCAAGCGACGATGAAGATGCCGAAAATATGGAAATATGCGTCGACCGACTGGATGGTATGTAAAAAGATATATATGAATAAATTCATAATGATATAGTGATATATGTAAATTGATTGAAAATAAACCTAATTTGTGTTAATTTTGCTATAAAAAATTACCAACAAAGAAAATATATAATAACTGTTTATGCCTATAAACGATCTATCTTCAAGAGCGAGCACTCGTCCTTATAAGTTATATATATATATATATATATATATATATATATATATATATATATATAAGTAATCAGGTGTCCTGATGATTGCGTTTAGTATAAAACAACCTGTCTCCTTTGAGTGTTGACTTCAATATTCACTTTTATATTTGCTTACATTCTATCTCTGATATTGAGCACTTTATTCCATAAATATAGCACACCTTAAAACTATATTTCTTTATATAAATATAAGTGATATCCTTATATATATATATATATATATATATATATATATATATATATATATATATATATAAGATATCTCCTGACGAGTGGGCTGAACATTTACAAAGGGTTTTCTACAAAACTCTGAATACAACCTCAATCAACTGAAATTTTTTTTTATTTATTTGCATTATTTGCAATATATATATATATATATATATATATATATATATATATATATATATATATATATATATATATATATGTGTGTGTGTGTGTGTGTGTGTGTGTGTGTGTGTGTGTGTGTGTGTGAGTGTGCGTGTTGGATTAGTATAAATATAATAATTGCCAGTTTACAGAAGGCACGGTGGAGTGGTGGATAGCGGCTTGAAGCGTCGAGTTCGAATTCCAGTGGAATCCATTATAAGCACTTACGTGCTAATGCCCTTGGGAAAGGATATTAATCCTCCTTTTCTTCCTCCAGCTGGACAGACAGGGTTTTATAGCCCTGGGTGCCTTATATATTGGAAGGACAACTCTGAATTCAAAATTCATTTGGGGACGTTGTGGCATGTAATATTCGGCCCTTATTCGGTTGGTTCTGTACAAAGCCTTCACCTCTATAATCGAATCATATATCTAGCTGTCGGCTTCTAAGAAATGAGCTACTTGACCCTCATACATTGAATTCCACCATATGTAGAACGATAACAGTGTAGTTTTGTTTTGACAATTTATTTGTTTTCCTTCTTTTGTCTTATTTATTTGGTGCTAGTAAAACAAAACGAAATTAAAAGAAGAATTAAACGTATACTTTGAATCATTAAATAGAATATTTTATAGAATAGTATAGATATTGATATTAAGAACTTAATATAGCTTACCTTAAAACATTATATTTATCATACACACACACACACACACACACACACACACACACACACACACACACATATATATATTTTCGATTATAGGTGCAGTTTAATTTTATTTATTTAAATCATTAACCTCTATATTTGTTTTTTTGTATGAATGATTCATGTAATTATATATATATATATATATATATATATATATATATATATATATATATATATATATATATATATAATATGGATATATAGATCCGACAGTATGAAGAAAATATACTGAAAAAAACAAACAAAAATCCTAATATGCGATTGTGCTGTTTTAATGTTTAATGTCAACGTCGGACGTTTCGGTCTAATAGACCATCTTCAGGACATATTCATAAAACATAATTAACATAGACCATATACAATTCAACATGAAAAAGACGATGGACATAAAAGCAATACCAATCCAAACAGATAACTGAAATCTTTTATAAGATCAGCATTCGCATATTAGGATTTTTGTTTGTTTCTTCAGTATATTTTTTTCTTCTATCTATATATATATATATATATATATATATATATATATATATATATATATATATATATAATATTTGTTCCTTAGCTGATTGATATTATCAAATATCTTCATTATTATTAATATTTGAATAATGGCTGAGAGAAACAACTCGATATACGGATAGCTTAATGGATATCAGTTTGGAACCTGAAATCGGTGGTCGAATTTAAATTTATGTTTCGTCTCTTGCATTTACATTCGAGCTTATACATTTAGGAAAAGCATGAATCTGTCTCTTCTCCACCTCAGCTATGTGTAAAATAGCAGGGTATACTTGGCTCTCTAGCCTCGAGGGACAATAAAGAAAAAGGAATCCATGGAGAGCTATGATCACCTACGTCATGAAAGGACATGATATTAAAAAACAGCCTAGGAGAAAGAATTATCTGAATTCAAAACTGTAGAGAAAGCAACAGGAAACCACTTCAATATCTTTCTCAGGAAGTTATGGCAATTCACAGATAATAAAGAAAGGAATCTGGAGAATGCAACAGGAAACTACTCCAATATCTTTCCCAAGAAGTTATGGCAATTCACAGATAATAAAGAAAATGAATCTGCGGAGAAAGCAACGGAAAACCACTCCACTATGTTTCCGAAGAAGTCATGGCAATTCTCAAATAATAAAGAAAAATCTTTTGAAATTTATGATCGCGTACTTCATATGTCGGGATATGTCATTAAAAAAGGAATAACTAAAACTGATGTTAGAGTTGCTGTTCATCTATTTTTCCTTTTGATTTACTCTTTAAACCTAATTATAATATTTAATTATATTCAATTTTCTTTTTTTTTGCAGATGGCCGATGTGTGGAGACTGGGACCACAAAACATAATAGCCGTCCCCCAACACCAACACCCGTGGGTTCACCCGGGTCGGGTGAGGTCGAAGTTGTAGATGAAGACGTCCCTCATGTTCCGCCACCACCACCACCACCGCCGCCACCACCCCCTCCCCCACTTTCCTCAAATAGTTCATCCTCGTCGCACCGTCGGCACCATCACCACCATTACGGAAACAAAAGTGACTCCATGACTGCTGGTTCAAGCGGAACCGGTTCTGGTGATGATGTAACTGTACGAGAAAGTTCTAAGCGGAAATCGTCTTCGATTGAAAACAGTATAGTGTCAGTAACTGATCGGGAACGAGATCGGGAACGAGATCGAGAACGAGATCGGGAACGGGAACGAGACCGAGAACGTGATCGAGAACGCAGACGCAGGAGGAGACTTGAAGTGGATGTTGGTGACGAAGGTGATCATGAAGAGAGGATAGACGAAGAAGAGGATGCGGGTAAGAGAGAACATATTGTACTGGGAACTGTTTCCAGTCGTTCAAACTCCCCTCTACCTCTGAACGCACCTCCACCAATTTCACCTGGTTCATCCGACCGTGGTTCGAGTCCGAGCAGGAGTCAAAACAAAGGGCCTGGTGGAGGCGGAACAGCAGGCGGTGGCAGCAGTCCTCCCAACGTCACGGTCATACAGCCATCAGTGTCGCACCCAATGTTTTCTTATCTTTATCCGCCCCCGCCTCCACCACCACCATCCCTATATTCTGCATCACTCACCGGAAGTGGCGCGACTGGAACCGGTGTTGGTGGGAGCGGAAGTGGTGCCGTGTCCAGCGGATCGTTGCCCTACGTAGGACATATGCTCTTCAACGCTGCCGCAGCCGCTGCCGCTTTCCACCACGGTGCCGCCGCTGCTGCAGCCGCAGGTGGAGCTGGCGCAGTACATTTTCTGTCACCAGCCGCTGCGGCCGCTGCCGCTCACGCAGAACTTGGTGGATTGGCATCTGGGCATGCACACGCCCACCACCATCACCATGCTGCAGCCGCCGCTGCTGCAGCAGCCGCCGCCGCCGCCGCTGCTCATCATCATGTCACAACGTCGAACATCATGTTGAACGCCAATTTTCCCTTTCAGGGTCCCACGCCAGCATTACTACCCCCATCTTACTCTTTGACGCCGTCTTCCGAAGGATCAGTTGCAAGTGGAATAAGCGGCCATTACAGTTCTTTGATGACCACTCGAACCTCTACGACAAGTAGCAACAGGTTTTCGCCTTACACTGTACCTCTTACGAAATCTGCTTTAAGTTCGGGAGTTTCAGGTTCAAGTTCAGTTGGAGTCACAGCCGCAGGTGTTTCTGGTCTTGGCATGGCTGGCTTTTCCAGTTTAGGAGTCGTATCCGGATCAAATATTGGAGTTGGCGGCTCAAGTTTGGTCATTCCGGGAGTGATTGGAAGTAGCGGAAGTAGCATTGCCGGAAGCGGAAGTCACCATCATCACCACCGCTCATCTCCATCCTCTTCGTCTCCTTCTACATCACCTTCGCCACCACCACCTCTTCCTCCTAGTCCGATCCCCAAAAACTCACCCTCACCATCCTCTCCACCAGCGTTGTTATCATCATCTTCATCATCTGTGTCGATGACGACGACGACGACGGCGACGGGCAGTGCCGTTATGGCGGCCAGCGGAAGTGGAAGTGAACTTCGAAACATTGAGCGCATGCTCAACGGACTAGACAACAACAAAAACAACACCAGTATCAACAACAAAAACAGTACCACCAGCAACAGTAGCAGTAGTAGTAGTAATAATAGTGTTAGTAACAGTAACAAACACGAATCTATTCGAAGCTCACCGAACGATAAATAAACAGATAATTAAATTTTTAATTAATAAAATATAAAACGAACATTTGAAGAAAATGATTTAAAGTAAAGGAACCATATAAAAAAAAACAATAACAAATACAAGACAAAAAAAGCAACAAATGCTTCCAACAAAATGACACTAGTGATAAACTAATGCACCATCAATATAAAAAAGATGACAGAAAAAACAACGATTACTAATGAAAAAACCAAGATCACATATAGCATCAATTTGACAGTTACAAAAAAGACTTCTCTCTCTCATTGCAAAATTTGAAAACATTGCCAAAGACAACTGAAAACTGATAAAGTCGCCGAATATAAAAATAATAAAAAAAGAAAAGAAAAAGAAAGCAAGAATTGAAAATAACAAGATAAAAAGTAAAATAATTGAAATAAACTGTTTTAATTTGACATAGAGGTTTTACTGTTGAACAAATGGCGCAACAAATTTTATATGAAACCGCTACATAGTCAACAGTCATAATTAAAGAAAAATCCATAATTTTAGGAAGAAAATTAACAGCATAACATTTTATCAGATACTATGACGTGCAAGAAGGCAAATGCTTAAAGAGTTTATTCGTAAAAATATACTTCATATACACATGTAAGGAAGTGAAATCAGTGATGTCAAATATTGTTTTTTGTTGTTCATTATTTATGCCTCTAGCACCCCAAAGGAAAATGTTTTTATTTAATAATTTAACAGAATATAGGCAGACTTTAAAAAATTAAAAAAAAAAAAAATTATTTGATAATGAAAATAGTCTAAAGTGTTTTTTTAAAAAAACTGATTTAAAATATTTTGGCTTTTTGGTTTTGTCTGATATCATTCGAAAACAATATTTCCATTTGACAGATCTTTCTAATTCTTTCAAACACTTGTGGAGCAAAAAAATAAAAAAATAAAAAAAGGCAAAAAAAAAAAATAAAAAAATTTCATAATAATGTGAAAATCCCAAAACTGTAAATAAGGAAATTCTGAACCATATTTTCATTCGTTAAATTTTATTTTTATTCGCATTTTGTTCGAACTATGCCGACGGAAAAAAAGAAAAATAAGAGAAATCTTCATTTTTTCTTACAAGAATGAAACTGATATTTCTTGAATGAATGGAAGAAAAGGGTGGACAGAATTAATTTCTTTCATTAATCACATTTAAAAAAGAGAAAAATACCTCTCTAAATGATTTTAAAACAAATGTTTTCTTGAACAAATTTCTCATTTTATAAAATGGACAATTTAAAATAAAAAAAAAATCTACCAAAAACAATAACCAAAAAAAAAACAAACCCCAAAACTGCAAAACAGATACTGCCTCCTCCTCCTCCTCCTCTCTTCATTTTCCTCCCCCTTCCACCTTTTCCACAAAATATTTTGAAAATGGAGAGCTTTTTTTTTTCTTCATGAATGAAATTAAACGATGGAAGAATTTCAATAACGTGAAAAACAAAAAAAAAAAAAAAACAATGTTCCAAAAAATAAACAATGACTACTCTATGAAAGAAAATGGAAGTTGTTTCTGATGAAAAACGAAGATTGCCTGAAAGAAGTGTTTGCAGGTAAAATCTAAAGAGAAAGTAAAACAATGGCAAAAAAGAAAGAAAAGGAAAAGGAATCACCGATAATTAAAGTTAGATAAAGAAAGAGAGCAAGAGAAAGAGAGAGGGGAAGAGAGAAAGAGAGAGAGAGAGAGTAGATGAAGTAAGTGAGAATTGAAGGAATTGTAAGTTTTGAAGTAAAACTAAAAAAAGAAAATGTTAATTAAAGAAACAATTTTAAAAGAATGAAAGAAAGAACATTCAGAAAAAGCTGGAAATTTTTTCTTTTCTTTTTTTTCTTGAAGTTTTATAAAGAATAATCGATAAAAATTCTAAAAATAATATGAAAATTTACGAACATTTTTGAAATGATACGTAAGAAATTTAAGAAAGCTAAAAAGGATTATAACAAAAAATGTGATGGACAGCAGCAAACACAACAGATACAAATCCCTTTTTTGTATTTTTGTTGAATTTGTTTTTAAATAAAATTATGAGAGACTATGAAAAGACAGGATAAAACCCGCCAGTAAGTGAAATAAATATTTCTGTTTAAAAAAAAAAAAATAGTTAAATAAATAGATACACGATTAGAAAAACAAAATAAAGGAGGGAAAATGCGAAACTTGCATTCTGGGAAAACATGGCTGCCAAGATAGGGCTTGAAACAAATTTAAAAAAGAAAACAAAGACGGTTAAATAACAATAACAATGCAAAGATGGTTGAAGACGAACACACATTTATTAAAAACTTAACGTGGTAAACTTTTCAGAAGTTTACAAAAGAATCTATCCCGAAATAAACAAATATATAAATAAACAGCAAACAAAAGCAAACAATATAATCAGCAAAATCTTCTGGATTAAAAAAATTAAACAAAATAATAATAATAATAATAATAATAATAATAATAATAATAATAATAATAATAATGTTAATAAAGAATTGTTATTGATGATCTGCATTATATTTAGTGCGTATACTGCTGTGTGTAGGAAGAAAAACTTTTTAATAACGTAATAATATGAACAATAATCGTTAGATGAAAGAGAAAATTGAAAAATTCTTCAAAAAAATAGAAGAAGAAAAAAAGGAAGAAAGAACAGAATGTAAAATAAAAATGTTTAAAAAGCCAAAATTTAGACTATAATACAAACATTGTGTGCGAAAGCAATCTTTTTCGCTGGTGTACCCGAGACCATTATGGACAACGTATTGCACTCCGGGGAAGTACTTGATATACACGGACGTAACTCATAGACTAAATGCTATTATATATATATATATATATATATATATATATATATATATATATATATATATATATATATATATATATATATATAGTTGGTTTTCACATTATGTGAGATAAACTTTTTTTAATATTTACACTGCAGACATACATTGTTACATATATACTTTTATTAATAATGATAAATTGGACATATTCTTTTTACACACAAAAGTGTGTAACATGCACGGAAAAACACATATAAGCACATAATCCCTCCACACATACGCACATTCACATATACATCCACATATATGCTACACACATACACAGACATATACACACATACACACACACACATAAACACACACACCACACACACGTTATCCTTTGCCGAACATTATGTATTTATGTCATGTATATGTATATATATATGTGTGTCGATGTATTTTTGTGTGTAACTGATATACACACATTTACACATGCGCGCATATACACGCAAAAACACACATACGCTCACATACACGCAAGCACATACACACACACATATATATATGTTGTATATGCGTATGCACGAATGAATGTGCGCTTTTGTTTGTGTTTCTTTGTCGATACGTATGTATATATATGTATGTATATCTGAGTGAATATATGCGAATGTGCATGTGTGTACATATGTATGTGTATATATATATCTAGTCACATGATCGAACGTTTCAATATACAAAATACAATTATCATTACTTTGTCATTATCATCTACAGTATTATTATTTTCGAATGTATTATTGCCATTATTATTATTATTATTATTGCCATTATTATTATTATTATTGCCATTATTATTATTATTATTATTAAAAACATTATATTAATTTTATCAATATTATTATCATTATTATAGATAGTTTTGTATTATCAATCAATATTGTTCTACAATGATACCAGTATTACAATATATAAAACCATCACCACCACCGTGTAAACCAAGAACAAAAACAATATCAACAGCAACAAAAACAACAGCAATAATAATAATAATAATAATAATAATAATAATAATAATAATAATTTGCTTTATAATTCTTACGTAAAAATACTGTATATGCCTAGCAATAAGTATGCCTATTTATAATCTATTTATAGACAAAAACTTGATCATACACACACGCGCCAGCACACACAAACACATACACACATACACATAGGATCACTCTCTCTTTATAATTCACACACACATATATGCGTCTATGTGTAAAATACAGTAGTCAGTTAAAAATAATTACAACATAAAAGCCTATTTTACAATCGTATTCACATATATTCACCAATACACATACATGACCATTTTTGTTAAACTTAAATTAATGAACTGAATATTTATTTATTGAAGAACCATTATATTGCTCCCTATCATTAAATGATGATTATGCCACTGTTAATATTTAAAATAAAGAGATAAGTATTTGGAATAATGATGATTCTGAATCATTACCTTCCCTTTCCCTCCCCTCCCATTCCCATTACTTTCGTGGGTAATATAAATAAAAAAAAAAAACAAATAAAATAACACAAGAATGATGACGTTTATGACGATGACCCCCGGCCATGATAATGATGATGATGATGATGATGATGATGATGATGATGATGATGATGATGATGATCTTTTCATTCGAATATCATTCCAGAATAATGGTTATTCTTTACATTTACCCCCCCCCACAAAAAAAACAAAAAATACTGAGCGCTTATCATTGTGTACACGCGCTCTTTCTTCATTGCATAATCCCACACTAGTACGCATGCAAACACA